TGTTTATGTAATTGCATAATTTATGAAGGTAGAAGCAGGTATATATATATAGTTTGTTTGCTATTTATTCCAGTTGCTCAGAACAGAACATTTTATTTTACTGAAACTACCTAAAGGAAATAATAATAAAAAATGTCAGGTAATATAATCAACACTTAAAGGATTCAAACTATCTGAAACAGATAACTTTTTTCTAGTCGTTTGGCAAGACTGTGGTGAAACTCAAAGTGGCTCCCATGCTTTACAAAATACAAATGAAACCTACGTAGCAGTTGCAGGTGGAACAGATGTTAATGGTGAACCTTTATATGTTGGTCGTGGTCAACATGAAAATGGTGAATGGATTCCGGGGAAAATTCCACGTTCACATAATGGCTGCTATATTTCATATGGTGGTAATGAAATTATGTGTCATAATTGTCAAGTGTTGACAGTGAGTGAAAGTACAAGGAATCGCCTTCAGTGGATTCCAGCTTCAAATGGACAGATACCTCATGGGGCAATTCCTGGTGGTACAGCGTCAGACGGTGCAACATATTACATTGGTCGTGCAGAACATGAAGGTCGTCTAACGCCGGGTAAAGTACACGTCCATAATCAATGCTTATTTTTACCATTTGATGGTAGCGAACACCAATATTCGAATTATGAAGTACTTTGCGCTCAGTAAAGAATAACTAAGACAGACAACAAATAAAACTTAACTGAAGTAGAAAGCAGCAATATCGATCATTATCTTCTTTTTACTGTAATGTAGCTCTTTATTGCTCAAACTGTAGTACAGTGTGCATTAAATAAATTAGAAAAACATAGATCTCACACAATATCTGTCTCCGGCCTATTATATCAAAAAGCTACAAAATGTAGATAAAGGAATTGGAAAGTTCCGAAAAAGATTTATACATGTGGACGTTTTTTTCATTAGAAAAATGCTGTGCTTTCTTTTGTCTTGTAGAAAAATCAATTAAAAATAGTAGAAAAATTTCCGTAAGATCAACAAGTAAAGTTCTGACGGGCGTCCGGCCGTTTGAAAAGCTCAAACACTTCGGTCAGATTCGATGTTTTTGCTGGGCAGCTAGCTTCCAACTCTGATGTAGGGTATTATAAAAAATGCTCGACAAACTGAATACATGGGACGGGGAAAGTTTAAAATACATTAACAATTGCGCAAGCACTAAGACTTTCAAAGGAATGTA